CTAATCTACTGGCTCTACAAAGAATAATATGCGGAATGTAATGTGTAGAGACTTAGAAAGCTGATTCGGCCATCTCATCCTATATTTATAGGTGAGAGACTCGACCAGTCCTATTACAATTAGGAAACAAGATGGGCCGTGCGTGTGGGCTATGTAGAGCATTTAAATGAGGCCTAATTCTCTCTCAGTTAAACTAATTAATTACAAATAAATTGAACACAACAAATAATTATTCTAACAGACAACGTACCAAAATTACACTGATATAATACTATCAATTCTTATATCGATTCTTCTAAAAACTTCTAGAACCAAATCAATATGAGATTAACGGTTCTTCAAATGGTTCATAATTTTCTTTCAAGAACTGAACTGATCTCACCCCTACATTTTTCTTCGTAAGACGACATATAAAATATCACTTTTTTAAGTTTATCTTGTGTATCAGTATTAATGTAAGATCTCCTTATTCAACTTTATATATCGTAAAATGATAAAAAAATATCAAAATTTAATGTTCAAATCTTGCGCATTGAGACCATCCCGGTACCCACCTCCCTACTCGGCCGGTACTAATCCAGGACTTGTTGTCCGATTTGTGAGCTCGGGTAAGTAATTAACCAGATTTGCAACCAGATCTATGCGTACTTGTTATGAGTAGAAGACAACAGAAAAGTTCGCAGAAATCTTTGGTTAGGAGAAGAGAAATTGTAAAGAATTAATGAATTAAGAATGAGTTAAAAGTCATGAGAATTCATGATTTTATAAGTCAATAAGAATGAACCGAAACTTAAATACACCTAGACTTTTATAAACTTTTAAAAGTCTACATTGAATACAGCTAGACATTTGCAGACTTTTAAAAGTCCACATTTAATACATCTAACTGACCTAACCTATTAAAACCCCGGCCCTGCTGCACGCACCCCAATTAGTACTTGGTGTACCCAATTTTCATCATCGTTAGACAATTTTATCCTTGTTTTCATTTTTTTTTGTTTCGTTACTTCGACGCATAGACAATTTTCCCATTTTTTTGTTCACGGGTCATTGATTTCTACACTCCTGCCACTTTTGCATCCACTTACTCTCTCCGTCCCAATTTGATTTGCAAAATTTCCTTTTTTGGTTGTCCCAAAATGATTTTCCACTTTCTATTTTAGGTATGTAAATAAGAATAAAGTGACAAATTTACCCTTACTTTTACTTTTTCCCCATTAACTTAAAGACATCTACTTTTAGAAGGATGGGCAAAAGTGTAAAAAGCAAGCATCATTTATTGTCATTTCTTAATCCTTGTGCCGGTCAAAGTTTGCAATTCAATTCGGGACGGAGGGAGTATGATTTTTTCCTATCAAATTGATATTGTGTTTCTTATTTTAATTATCGCATCAACCAAATTATTGATCTCTCTCAAATAATGTTCCATAAATTGAGCGTGTCTTTCTTTTTCATATCAGACAACAACTGTTTAAGTTCCATACACCGGGGTAAACTTTGACATAAATCTTGTTTGAAGCCTATCCCAAATAGCAAAGGAGTGCTTAAGATCATGAACATCAACCAAAACATCACGTGAAAGTGTAGCAAACAACCAACAACGAAGTGTTTGATCCACTCCGTATTTGGGATTTGATGACTAATAAAATCAACATTGTACATAGGGGTACCTGAATGGAACCATCAATCACGCCAAAAAGACATTGAGAGACCAATAATTATTCGAATTGAGTGAGCCATGTGAGATAATCCTCTACTGCTGTGAGCTTGATGGTGACAATTTGAGAGACAGTAGTAATATGTGATATGGATTGAGCAAGGGCTGCCATCGAGGATCCAAGGGTCGGCGGGTCTGTAGGGCGAACAACACCCGGTGAGCCAGAGAAGGTGGAGCCATAAAATGGTGAAGCATGCATCGACTGAGGAGCAAGAGTCACCAGAGTCTGCACGTTGGTCGTCTGCCAAGGAAAGCGAGGCAGCAACGACTAAAACAAGGAGTATGGCTCGGCTGTGGAGAAGAGAGGCGGCGGCGAGAAGCTAGAGAACAAAGCCATTTGGGCACTTCCCGTCAGGCCAGCTGTAAAGAATTTATTTGACTGCCTTCACGATTGACTTTTTATCTGAAATTTGGTATGAAAAAATTAGACTTGACGAAGAACATGCTCAAAACATTTCATAAAAAATTCTACCGGGAAGGTCCCCAAATGGCCTCGGACGGACGCCGGTTCCCGTAAGGCCGACTTGATATGATCTGTCATATATATATATGACTCCCAGGAGAGAAATGAGAACGAATTTGGACCGTTGGATTGTATTATGTGGATCTGGATTGTGCATTTGGTGAAACTGAAATGTGCATCAGATGATATTGAAATGTGCAGAATAAAAATTTAAACTCAAGTGTGCATTAGGTGAAACTGAAATGTGCGAAATAAAAGGTACAAAAATAACATCACATCGTGTCTTTTATTTTCGCACAGATCTTAGGAGAGAAATGAGAACGAATCTGGACCGTTGGATTGAATTATGTGGAACTGAATTGTGCATTTGGTGAAACCGAAATGTGCATTAGATGATATTGAAATGTGCAGAATTAAAATTTAAACTCACATGTGCATAAGGTGAAACTGAAATGTGCAGAATAAAAGGTACAAAAATAACATCACATCGTACCTTTTATTCTGCACATTTTAGTTTCATCTAATGCACATTTCAAATTCACCTAATGCACAATTTAGCTTCACATAATGCCACTACATTGTACCATTTGTGCTGCACATTTCAATTTCACCTAATACACATTACAACTTCATTTAATGCACATTGAATTTCTCATAAAGCAAATCTAATGGTCCAAATTCATTCTCATTTTTCTCATAATATCATGTTCTTATTTGAACCAAAACCTATATATAATAAATAAAAAAACTGCAGGGGCTGGGGCATCTCCAAGCCCCTAGCTACTTCTGCCACTGCTGCGGAAGTGCTCATGGCGGCAGCTAGATTCGTGAGAAGGAAGAGAGAGCCAAAAAGATTAGGTCTAGACTCTTGATACCATGTGGAATAATGAGAAAAGGGTACTCCAATAGGAGCCCTGACATGTATATTCATAATAAAATAAGTAAATAACAGTTGCCAAAATACACAAGGATTCCTAAATAAGGTAAACTATTAGCTAGATTGATGCTGACTAAGGTGCATAGGCAGAGACAAATAGGAAACATAGGAAGGACTCGACTGATAGGAGAACAAGAGCGCCGTAGAATGTGTGAATAGAAATTGGTGGATGATCATACTCATGCCGACATGGAACTAATAAAAGGAATGGAGCAGAACAATGGGATCGAAGCGGGATATGTTTATGAGGCCCGTGGTTAGATATTGGAAAAATATGACTGTTATGTTTTTAGACATTCATATGACTAAAAAGCAAAAATAAAAAGGATAATTCGTTCAAATTAAAATATTTAGTAACCAAAATACCCTTATTTAAAATTGTGAATTTTACACTATTTTTGTCTAATTAAAAATATTGTACTTTATACTACAGTTACTGCATGACATTATTGCACATTCGGAAAAAATCACTACACTTCATGTCAGCATTAATTCTCTTATCATTCGCGTTACAAACTTATTTATAGTTCTTTATTCATTTTTAGATGTAATAACTTTAAATTAGTATTTTACATCCCGTTAAATACATGAAGAATGCTTGATGTACATCATTTTGTGTACACCATTCGTACACATTATCTATCTATGCAAATAGAATTGTCTGTACAATACATACAACTCTGTCTGGAACCACAGTGTTGTCTCTATACAGACAACTCCGTCTGCTGCAGTGAAACAATCAGAGAAGCAACATAAGACGCTGCTATGGTCGTGTTTGAGACAGAGGATCCAACGAAGTAGCAACGATGGATGTCGACGCTGTCATGGAAGCGGAAGAAGCCATGCCCCGGAAAGTATACACAAATAGACTAGGGTTTAGAGAAAAAACCCATGCTGTCTGATACCATGTGAAATAATAAAGTGAATTACAGGTAGCTCTGTCGGATATATTTATAATAAACCAGAGTTTTACAAATTACACAACAAAAACCGAATCAACCAAAAAATTAACCGGAATATGCGACTCAAGGAGCATAGTACGAGCTAATTCAACAATATGCCGATGTTGACGTTCGGCAACACCATTTTGTTGGGAAGTGTGCGAGCAAGACTTGTGAATATAAATGCCATGAGTATGAAAAAAATAGTGATGTTATTAATTACAAACTCACTCACTCCATCACTTTGAAAATTTTTAATTTTAGAATTAAAAGATTTTCCATCAGAGTTTTAAAATTACAAAGAATGATTAAACACCTTAGACTCGTGTCACATAGGATATACCCAAATAAAACGAGAAAAGTCATCCACAAAATTAACATAGTACTTGTATCCTAGATTAGAAGTAACAGGAGATTGTCAAACATCGAAATGAATTAAATATAAAAGAACATTAAAATTATAAAAACTTCATAAAAAGGTAGTTTATAAGATTTTCTTTCTTAAATGACAAGAAACACAATCGGGGGGACTTAGTGACACTAACGATGGCCTTATTTTACACAAGAAGGTTAAAAATTCTAGCACTACAGTGACCAAGACGACCATGTCATACAGGAGCTGGAACGACAGAGTTGACTAAAGCTACTGGAGAGGTGGATGAGATGGAGATAGGGTCAACACTAGACACTTCCCACTATTGTGGACCTAAAAAAGAATCTTCTTTGTTTGATTGTCCTTGACAAAAATAGTACTTATATTATTATTAAATTCAACAATTGTCATTATATGTGCACAATTATTATTTACAAATTCACCCCTGAAAAATTTTAGCTTTAGAATTAAAAAATAAATTCCACCATAGTTTTACAAATGACACAATAACCCCACATATATGCTCTACTAATAGTGAGCGAGAAAAGTTATTATTCTCCTAATTTCCATGCAACTTTCATTTCATTCTTTAACAACCAACGCTCAACGCGGCAAACTCTGCTCCCAGCCGGGAATGTCTGGTAATATCAGAAGGGTTCTATTTTGTTCTTTCAACGAAATTAATTCGAAGAGAACAAAAAAGGACAACTCCAAAGATGGAAACCACAGTCCACAGTGTCCATTCGGTCGGAGCAATGCACTTTCTATAATCTAAGTTTAATCATCCTAAAACGTCCGATTCATTTCCCCTTTCTATTTTTTTTATTTATTTCTACGGATCGGTCAAATTCTTAACCTGCGATCCTCTTTTTCTTTCTTCTCTTCTTCCGGAGAAGAGTTTCTTACAAAAGGCCTATTTTTTTTTTGTCTTCTGCCGTTATTTTCATTCCGATGGAAGACGTATACAAGGACAATCCCTTCGCAGATGATGAAATCAACCCATTTGCGGTAATTGACTTAGGATGCTTTGATTTACTAACATAATGTTGTTGTGATATGAATTCCCAGGAATGCGAATCTCAAACTTCTTTATTTTTAGTTTTGGTGCTGAATATATATATATGATCAATCTGCATTTGCTTTATTCCTGTAAATATTGGTGCATTTTTGCATGATCACTTCTTTTTCTTTATTAGGCTCGAATTGTTTGTTTCAGTTCAATATTGTTTGATAGATAAATAAGTTAGTATTAACTAGAATTGATTGCAAATAATTAGTTACCATATCAGCATGTACAAATGAATGAATGCATGAATGAAAGTAAATACGGAGCACTATTCTTTACCATTATCATGTCAGTTATTTAGTTTTCCCTTGGAGTCCTACACTGTACAAAAGGATAGAACTGGAACTAACAGTGGTTCGATGTGGTAAACAAAAATGTCGGTGACTAACTAATTCAGTATGTGGGGCGATTTAGCATTGGCATACTACGTATAACATATTAGCCATAGCCTTTTAATATGGAACTCTGAGTTTTAATATGGACCTGGTCTTGGTTTGTTGATAACCTCTAGTTGTTCTTTTCATGAAGTATGCTTTTCGTACACCAAGATTTACACTAAGATGTACATAAACACCATTTTTAGACAGACACTATAGTGCTCATAGGCATAAATACTGTAGTGTGCCAGTGGGAAGCAAAAAGGTGTTGGCTTACACCATTAAGCAAAGCTCCTTTTCCATTTAGTAATAATAATTGATTATAATTTTACTTGGATTTACATTACCAACTCCGGATGCAAATATGAAGGGTTCTGGGAGTACCACACCAGCATCGAACACTAAGCTTTCCCCTCTTCCTCCTGAACCCGTTGACTATGATCGCAGTGCAACTGTTGATATCCCCCTGGATACCTCCCAGGTAATAACAGTATAGTGCTCCTCTATATGATCATTCCTTTTTCAATGCATATAGGATTGAAATAATTAATCTCTGTGCCTTTCCAAATAATTCAGGATTTAAAGAAGAAGGAGAAGGAACTCCTAGCTAGGGAGGCTGAACTGAAAAAGAAGGAAGAGGTATACAGTTTTTTTTTAACTGTACATTCTTTTAGCATCTCTTTGATTTGGTATACATAATGGTACAATAGAATACCCTATTCAACCTTTGTAAATGATCGTTTATTCTATTTATAGTGACAACTTAATAGCTTTCTTGGATCTAGTCTGTTCATATGTGAGAAACTATGTTCTTGTGATGCCAAATGTTGCTCTGATCTATGTTACTAATCCTAAATCAAGGTCTTAGCTATGAATCTTATCTTTTCGGTTGAAATGTGAGGTCTTAATATGATAGTGTTGACCTTTAGAATCAAGTCTGAATTCTTAGCAATCCCATCTTCAAGTAAGTAGTCATTTGACTTTTGTCATGCTAACTTTCAATTTATTGTGGTATCTAGGAACTTAAAAGGAGAGAAGATGCCATTAAAAGAGGTACATATCTCTTTATTAATATTGTTGTTGTTGCTATTGTTGTTGTGATTATTATTTATATTCCTTATGTTAAACAATGTCTTTTGGAGAAATGCTATGAACCACCCGCTATACATTGTGCAGCTGGGGTTGTAATAGAGGAAAAAAATTGGCCACCTTTTTTCCCTATCATTCACCATGATATCTCAAATGAAATTCCAATCCATCTTCAGAAGTTGCAGTATGTGGCATTCACTACATTGTTGGGTATGTCTAATTTCATTCACACTCATTTTTTACTGCTTCATCCTTTTTTACCTTCTCCCCAGGCTGAAGTGTCAAGATTAAATCTGTGTACTAGATGTATTCTTTTCACTCTATAGTGATCATATGCCGAAGCATGGGACAAGCTTATGGTTTAGACTTACTTGTTTGGCTGTAATGGATGTTACTAAAAACTTCCCCTTTCAGAAAACTCAACAGTCAAGTCATAACTAAATGTGTTCTTGATACCATTTGTCCTTATTTGCCATCTATTTTTGTAAAGCCAGCTTTAGCATAATTTCCATTTTTTCATTATATATTACATGTGTTGCAGTTGCTACATCCAATAGTAAACAGAGAAAGGAAATGTGTTTTGGTATTCTGTATGTTATTTGATTAAGGTTGATTTTTTTTAAGAAACCATATTATTTTTAGCAGAATGATAGGCTCATTTTGACTTCAGTGACCTGCAGGACTTGTTGCCTGTCTCATTTGGAATACTATAGCAGTTACCTTAGCTTGGATTAAGGGTGAAGGTTGGTCTTGAATGGCAAATTTTCGTCTTTGTTAAGAAGTTGCTTAAAATGTTCATCTCTAATTCTGAGTTCCGATAATTGTAGGTCCAACAATATGGTTTCTTGCTATTATTTACTTGATATCAGGTGTTCCTGGAGCCTACGTTTTCTGGTACCGCCCTCTCTACCGTGCAATGAGGTAATCCCCTCTACCCCACCCTTTGTCTCCCCGCCTCACATGAAAAGTATACAACAAATTCATTATATTTGCAAATAAAAACCCTGCAAATTTGCAAACTTCGAAACATGTATGCTATTGTGTTTTGGTATGCAGGACTGATAGTGCATTGAGGTTTGGCCAATTCTTCTTATGTTATTCGGTAACGCTATTCAGCCTTCATTTCCTTTCTGCTTTGTATTTCAACATCGGTTATAGGGGTTGTCACATTGAGTCTATTTTATGTTGAAGATCCACATTGGATTTTGTGTTGTTGCTGCTGTTGCACCTCCCATCTTCTTCAAGGGGAAATCTTTGACGTAAGGCTTGATATTTATATTTTTAATTCTTGGGTTCCCTTAAATCTAACAACTTTTCATGCCACTATTACTATTTCCTAACGTGTGTAAAAGATTATTTTTATGCTGAAATAATTTAGCATCATGTCATCCCTTATTGTTTTCCATCATTTGCAATGGAGCCAAAGATTCATTATTTTTTGGCTTGAGATTATGATAGAATAAAGCAAAATGGCTCACTAAACTGTCTGCGCTTCTTTATTATGGAACAACAGTCAATCCATGCAATTTTGGACGCGATTTTCACTATGGGTCATCCGGAAACAGACTCTCTGTGCTTTAGTATAGGGGTAAGACTGCGTACATCCGACCTCCCCTTACCCCACCGTAGGTGGGAGCCTTTGCGGCACTGGGGTAAATGAAAATGAAATGATGATGCGTCACCCTTATTGATAAAGTATCCAAAATATAAAACTAACATACAAGGTTTTGGGCTAGGTCTTAATGTGTTATCAAAGCATATGAAGTTCAAATGAGCATTTTACAAGTATTAGGTAAGTAATAGTTTAGCTATGCCCTTCTTATTTGCAGTGGTATGTTACCTGCACTTGAAGTTTTAAGCGACAATGCGTTGGTTGGGGTAAGTGGATTAATATGAAAATCTGTTGGTTTCAAACTTCAAAGTGGAAATAGGCTAGCATAACAGGTATTTCAGAATAAGGTAACTAACGATATTGTTTTAACCTGCAGATCTTCTATATTATAGGATTTGCATTCTTCTGCATTGAATCACTGATAAGCATATGGGTCATTCAGGTTCATACTCATGAGAGCTTCATTAATTTTGTTCCTCTCTGGCAATTAAACTGGAATGTTGCTCATTCCTTCTCTATCTTGCAATATATATGCAGCAAGTGTACGCATATTTTCGAGGAAGTGGCAAAGCTGAAAAGATGAAGCAGGAGGCTGCGAGATCAACGATGATGGCAGCACTATAACTGCATGATCGATGGACTTTCAATTCTGCACCTTTTTCTCATACAATGATTGTTTTTATTTTTATTTTTATTTTTTATATTTACATTCTCTTTTAACACCTCAATTCTTGAGAGCTTTGCTAAAGGGTTGCTTAAATAGATTAGGTTATGGTGCTAGAGGCAGTGTATGCAAGTCCGTTTTTTACCGAGTTGAATTTGACTTTTGGCATCAGACACCCTTTTCTGGTTTACATTATGCTGATTTGCAAGAAACATTAATGAATCCTCTCTCTAACTGAAAAGATGGAGTTCTATTTCAAAAGCTTTTATGTCCCGAGAAGAGCCATCATTAAACCAAGATAAGTTTTCACATGATATGTCAACAAAACTATAAACAAGTTTAAAACAACAGACTTAAGACCCGGAGTATAATTTAAGAGCTGTACCTTGTCAAATTCAAAAATTATACGTTGACTTGACATGTTTTTGTTCTTTGCTATGTACTCCGTATGACATTAATAATAACAATAAAATTTCCTTAAAAAAGATACTACCTCTATCCAAATAAACAATGTTGTTTCCCAATTCATTATTTAGTGCAATTTATTTAAGAGATTGCTTAAATAGGAGTAAAATGTTTTCTAGCTCTAAAATAATAGCGCTAAGATTTTAGTCCTGATATAAGAGTAATTATTGCAATACATAAAAATGTTATTTAGTATGACAATATACTACCATATTTAAAGTCTGATAATGTGAAAATATGATAATAAATTTTCCAGAATGAAAGTAATGTAATCCTATTTATGGAAAATTAGAGTATTCATATATTGAAATATTACATTGTTTTTACTTAAATTCCAGGAATATTACAAATTTATATCCGTTCACTTATTTTGACTGTAATTTTTGTATTATATTTAAATATATATTTTAAATTTCAATATAGTTTTTAATTTCTGTAAATTGAAGATAATAATAATACTATACTGATTTGAATAGTGTGATGGACACATGTTGACATCATGGCTATGTGTATGTCACATTGTAAAAGAACTGGGCAAATGTCAATGTCCATTTGGTATATCACCTACAATTCTCTATGTCGGTATCAGTTTATGATGTCACGCGCAGTTTAGTGTAGATGTGGCTGCCGCCGCCGTTGCCGATGTTATTGCTGTGGAGGATGTCAAAATGACAGTTGCAAAAATTGTTCGGTGGCTTTTTTGGCAAATTAAAAAAAGGGCAGTTTCGCGGAAACGGCAATGGGAAAGGGGGTGGAGTGAGTGGGGAAGGGGTTCAGTTGTGACTATACGGATTACGGATAGAATTTTAAATTAATCAAACAAAGGTTAGTCTCATTTTTAAAGAAATAAAAATTAAAATTAATCATATTTTTCTCTTTAAAAAACTTAGAAGGAGTAGGTTTAAACAAATTGCCCTAAATATTGTGTTTTTATTCACTATGTAGTACTGTAGTAATTAGTGTCATGAGTTCAAAACATTGCCAATTATGGCAATACGGTGACATATATAAGTAATGACAAAATATGACAGTAAATTTATAGTCTGACAATAACATAGTCATATTTCGAGTAAAAAGGGAAAATTCATTAAATAGGAGTAAAAAAAGTTTAAAAATTTTCAAAATAGGTCTGGTATGTTTTTCCCTCATAAATATGGGTTATTTCTGCCAAGTTCTTTCCAAACTTGACAAAAATTACTTCTATTTACGGAATAAAAACATGAAGATTCTATTTTGAAATTTCATAACGTGTTCACTCCTATTTAGTGCAATTTCTATAAGAAATAATACTCATATATTGAAATTTACATCATTTGTACTTATATTTCACGAATTTTCCTTTTATTTAAAGTTTTAAACTATAACCCATATTTTAATGCAGTACTCCGTTTTTTCCCCAGAAATTATCCTAAATAGGAGTAAAAACGTTTTGAAATTCCAAAATATGACTATCCTGATTTTTATTTCCTAAATAGGAGTAATCTGCCAAGGTTGAAAAAATGTCATGTTTAAAGTCTAGTAATGCCAAACTTGGCAAAAATTTAGTCATATTCAAGGAATAAAAAATATGATAGTCCTATTTTGGATTTTCAAAACATTTTTACTCATATTTAGGGAATAAGCTCTTTTTTTATAAATACTCCGTAATATTTCATCAACAATGCTTGATGTACTCACCCTTATATTCACCTTATACCCACCATGTTTGTGAAGCTTTTTTTGTCCGTGGATCTGGTTCACAGACGACAAAAAAACTTTCACAAACATGAGTAAGTACAAAAGTAGATATAAAAGTGAGTATGAAACATCATTTTTTATATTTCATGCATTGATTGTTGACAAAAATGGATAGTACCTGGAGTAGTTGGAACCTTGGAGGAGAGTAGGAGACTCGAGTAAAAGGAAAAGAAGAGAATTAATTAATCAACAAAAATGACACGGTATACCTAATATTTCAAATGATCTGTATAAACTATCTAGAGTGGTTCGGTACGGTATACCTAATATTTTCTCTCATATCTTTACCATATCAAAACTTTCGGTATACAAAATTTATATATTGTTACCTTACCGAAGTTTTGGTATACCGTATTTCGATATACCAAAGTTTCAGTTCGGTATCGGTACGGTATCGGTAAATTACTGTGCATGTCTCATAATACATCAAATTATCATACACTAACAAAATATATTAAATCGGTGTTACCGGCGACATATTTAATCCATTATTAGACAGTTACAAAATACAATTAATAATCTATTGATGTCATATTTAATATTGAACAATAATTATTATTAATATATTTAAGCAGTTCAACATGTCACATATTAAAAAAGAACACATTCTCATATAGATATAATTAAATTAATATAAAAATAAATATAATTATTCAAACAACATGGATACAAAATCATGTATCCCTAATATGATATTGTGTATTTAATAATTTTTTAATTTTAAAAAATATTTGAAATAGACTTTCAGAAAAAATTGTGTGCCTCGATTAAGTAGATCCCTATATAGATACATTCGTCACATAAGTGTATCCCTCTTCACTCGTCAGGTACTCAGCGGCTCAGCTATCGCGACTCACAAGCTCATGGAACAAGACAGACTAGTTTCTGGATATTAGTACATTACTCATTAGTCATTATGCTTATTTGTTTAAAAGTTACATAGTAGAAGCCTAAGCTAAAAACCAGGCCAGTGCCTTATATAAGGCTGGAGAGGCCCAAGCCTCGGGGTCCCAAAAATTTTGAAAAAATTAGGGGCCCAATTTTTTTCAAAAATTAGTATTATAGATATGTATTTTGTATCTAATTAGTCCACCCCTCCGAAGTAATCAACCCCCGCGATTTGCCAAAGATAGGCGAAGAGGCGAAGAGGTGAAGAGGTCACGGACTAAGGAACAAAGGACTGAAGGAGGACTGGAGAAAATCCTTGTCGGCCGGCCCCTGGCTCTGGAGGAAGTCCTTGCCGCCGGCCTTCTCTGTTCTCACTTGCTACTCTGGCCCACAGAAGTATTTCTGAATTCTGGCTTCGCACAATCGCACTGGCCAGTAGTTCACAGGTAACAATTTTTTTTTCCTTCAGCAGCTCTAGCTTTATCTCTTTAAGCTTCTACGGACTATAGTTATGGATTCTTGGATTTCTTGCTTATTTGTATATATTAGTTCATAGTGTTCATTCTTTGCTTGTTTTTTATTTAGGATTATCATTTATCAATATTGCAATTATGGAATTCTCAATTTACAATTAATTAAATTATAATATTATATGCTTTGAATTTTTACAGAAAAATTACTAATATGTATTGTTAAGGATATCACTAAATTATGTATTTTTTATTTTTTAGAACCATGTCTCCCAAACATTTGTCTTGATTTCAAAAGAGGAAAAGAAAATCACGTATTGAATCATTAACCCAAAGTCAAGTTGAAAACATTAATAAGTACTTTTCGAATAAAAGAGCCACTTCGGAGAGTACATCTTCACAAAATGTAACTGGTGAAAAGGAGGGCGCATCCTAATGCATACATTGCATATAAGATCTTGCTGACGATACCTGTGACAGTAGCAAGTGCAAAAAGAAGTTTCTCAAAATGAAGCTTATAAAAACATTTTTTCGGTCAACCATGTCTCAAGACAGGTTGAATGGATTAGCTATGTTATCAATTGAGAAGGAATTTATTGATGACATAGATTATGCGGACGTGATAAATACTTTTGCATCTAAAACCGTTCGACGAGTTGTACTTAATTAATTTTAGTACATTCAGTGACATTTTGTTATCATGCAAGACTTTTATTTATGAATTGTGGTTTTTTATATTTAATCATTGAATTTTAATGAGTTATATGAGTATATGACAAACAAACACTATGTATAACATGGGCCCATTTATGATGGTCGCCTCAGATCCGAGTTTAGTTAGGATCGGCACTGCTAAAAGCTTGTAGCGGGTTTGGATCTTTCTTTTTGTATTTTAGTATGTGCAACCAACCTAATTATTAATTTTGGGCTTCAAAATTGTAATGATTTTTTACAATATTTTAGGATTTAAAGTAATTGTTAGGTATGAAACCGGTACGGTATTATACCGGTATACCGCGGTATTTGAAAACATTTACCGTTATTGTACCGAAATAAATCGGTACGGTATAATACCGTACCGAAAATGACGGTATACCAATATTCCGGTATTTTTCGGTATTTTTCGGTACGATAAGTGCGTGTATACCAATTTTTCGGTATTTTTGCCCAATTTCTTAGCACAGTAAGAAAAGTTTTCCAATGAAAACGTAACTCAACACGAAATCATGGCTGCGTTTGCGCGATAGACACACCTTTTGTTTCCTTGTCTATATGAACACATCAAAATTGTCAAAGGTTTGCCACTAATCACTTTGTTCGTCTATCTATAAATCAATAAATACTTCGTATAATAAACTCGAGGGGCCATTCTCTTAATTAATTACATCAAATGGTAATTAAGTGCCTACTAGCCGTCATCAGTAGAAACTACTGCCAGTCTTTAACCTCACTTCATTTAATTACCCCCCATTTATGGAACCGTGTACTATCCTCTCTCTCCGTTTCGGTGCTTCTGGTTAAGCTCAGATCAGAATGCTCATCGCAATTTGTAAAACACTCTCCCCCCTTCTGGTTCGCGAGTCTTAGAAATTCTTTACTGTAGCTTTCTTTTATGCGGTGTTAAATCTATGCTTATTATCTTTTAAAGTTATTTCAATCTTTTCTTAACTTCTTTTCCATTTTTTCCCATGTAAAGATCAGTTCATGAAAGGTGAGGCAAAAAAATTCTGTCTTGAGTTTCTTTATCTACTTTGAATTGCATTTCTCTCTCTGTTCTTCCTTTTAGTGTACGGTTCCTTTTTTTTCTAACATAACTTGCTTCTTAGGTCAATGTCTACATGTTTATGGAATTATGAACATTGGTTTGGATTTTGGAATGTCTGAGTAGCGAAATGGGTTTCTAACGTTCTATTGACTTTTAAATCATCTGGTTTGATTTGGTATCCGTGTTGTATTAATCCGGATTGGTTTGATAAAACTCCCATTTATTGATCTTTCAATGCTATAAAAATTGTGCCTTTTGCTGATTTTCCCTATGCTGCCCCTCTCGGTGTTTTGATTGGTATATTCAGGAAATACTCAGTTTGCTTCCATAACTAACACTCCTTCCATTTGCTTTATATCCTTGTTTTAGGTATGCCATCAAGGTTTAAACTTCACTTGATAACCCTTTTCTGCTGAGTCCATTTCAAAGCTGGCAAAAAATGAGGAAAAGCACCAGTTTTCACTCAGGAAGGGTTTCTGGTGACAAAAGGTGGAAAGTTCCATTCTTTGTAAGCTTGCTCTTATCCATGACATTGTTTATGGCAACCATTTTCGGGCTATACTCTTCATCATATGGTAGGGAAGCAATGGAAGTTGATGTTCCATCTTTCAGTGACTCACCAGAAGACTACTTTGTTGACTCGGAGCTGAGGTCATCAATGTTGAAAGTGGAACCTAAAACCGAACCACCTAGGTTTGCATACCTCATATCGGGCACAAAGGGTGATAGTCAAAGGTTAATGAGAACTTTACGGGCTGTTTATCACCCGAGAAACCGGTATATACTGCACATGGACTTTGAGGCCCCACCACGTGAGAGGTTGAACTTGACAATGTCAGTAAAGAATGATCAAACTTTCCATCAAATGCAAAATGTCCGTGTAATGGAACAATCTAATTTGGTCACATACAAAGGCCCTACTATGATTGCCACTACATTACAAGCTATAGCTATCATGTTGAGGGAAAGTTTGGATTGGGATTGGTTTATCAATCTTAGTGCTTCTGATTATCCTCTCATGACTCAAGATGGTTAGTGCTCTATTTATGTTCAAATATCTCAATTTGGGTTTTTAATATGTTAGCAAGTCTATAACTTTTATATATGTGGAAAGCGTTGTTATATTTGCATAATAATCTGTCCACTTCTTAATGCGTGATTAGTATTAATCGTAAAGGTCTACAATCTACTTAATAGAAGAACTAGTCCAGTGCCTTATATGTTACGTTTGTACCTTTATACTTGATCAATCTTGAAATTCTTATGCTCTTTTTGAATATTAGTTTGATCGATTGCTTGTTTAAGTGACTATGATTCCATATTAAGGCTTTAGATGAGAAGTAACCCAACATGTTGTGCTGGTTTGTGTATTTATACTTGGTCGGTGTGAGATATGTGTTAACGGTTGGGATATGTGACTGTTACTGAATCTGGGTTAAGGTTAATTGGTCAAATTGCAGACTGTCAATTTGGAAAATATTGGGGAAAGAAAATAGGGTGGAAAATAGAAGGGATAATTGGAAGGGAAGAAAGTCTTCAAAGAATAAAAGATAGTGTTGCATTCAATAAATTCATTTGAGGTATTCGTTCAAGCTAATTTAATTTATTTATTTCTGTTAAATAAGGACTGAAATCCAAATATGTATAGAATTTCAAAAAAACATTGTTCATGTTTCTTTTTCTTTTATGTTTTCAAGGTAAAACCAAACATAAGAAAATAAATAGCCTTAGCACTTTTTTGTCTTTCCGTAGCATTCCCAGGACCAAAAAACACCCTTAAAGTTATTGGTTGAATTTATTCAGAGAATGAAGATGCTGCTTTTATATAAATAATTGAAGTGAGGATGAAGTTGTGTTAGGGACCTAGGTAGTATGGAATACCAAAAGTCCCACATCGAGTAGAATGGGATACTTGGTGGGGTTCTTAAGTGCCTGGTTCTCCCACCTTAACAGCTAGCTTTTGGGGTGTGGCTCTCCAAGGTGCTTAAGTTCCTAACAATGGTATCAGAGTGGGTTGTCGGCGGGCCAAAAAGGGGCTACCGGCGGAGGGTCCTGACCGGCGGAGGGTTTTGACCAACAGGTCGGCTGAGATAAGTACCGCCGAGTGAAGTGTCGCCCAGTATAGCCGCCAGGACGGTGGCTTTCTGGGGAGGGTGTATTGTTAGGGACCTAGGTAGTATGGGATACCAAAAGTCCCACACCGAGTAGAATGGGATGCTTGGTGGGGTTCTTAAGTGCCTGGTTCTCCCACCTTAACAGCTAGCTTCTGCGGTGTGGCTCTCCAAGACTCCAAGTTGCTTAAGTTCCTAACAAGTTGTATCAGTTCCTAACAAGCTTGAGTAATGTCCAGATGTTTTGCTTGAATGATGCTTTATTGAGTATTATTCATTCCCTTTACTGGTTTGGAAAATGTTCGTTTGGGTTAATCTATGAAAATGATGTTTATTTCAATGTGCAAAACTATATTGTGTCTTTTTTCCTAAAGGACCTCTTAATGTAGAGAAATGGTTTATCAAAAAAGGGTGGATTTAATGAACTCAAACATATACAGAGTAATATGAAATTATTATGAATCAAAACTACAGTCTTTTTTATCCTCTTCTCCAAAAGCAAAACTGAATTGAGTATGATTCATTCCCTTAACTGGTTTGGAAAATGTTCGTTTGGGTTAATATATGAAAATGATGTTTATTTCAATGTGCAAAACTATATTGTCTTTTTTTCCTAAAGGACCACTTAATGTAGAGAAATGGTTTATCAAAAAAGGGTGGATTTAATGAACTCAAACATATACAGAGTAATATGGAATTATTATGAATCAAAACTATACTGTCTTTTTTATCCTCTTCTCCAAAAGCAAAACTGAATTGAGTGCTGATTATTGTTGCAGATATCCTTCATGTTTTTTCAAATATGTCCAGAAATTTGAACTTCATTGAACATATGCAGCTGTATGGGTGGAAACTGTAAGTTAATATATTTCAGTGAACCGCTGATGCATGGGGCTACTTTCTAATATTATAATAAGTTTTTATTTTCTGTTCCATATATAGCATTTTTTAATAGAAAAGTGCTGATGATTGCAGGAATCAGAGAGCAAGGTCCATAATTGTTGATCCTGGTCTTTATTTGACTAAGAAATCTGATATCGCTATGACTTCTCAGCGCCGATCACTTCCAACATCTTTTAAACTGTTCACAGGTAAGTTTGCTAAATATACTTATCCAGTTTATATGGTCTAGCACTCTAGGAATACACTGAGGCTATGCTTGTTATTGCATTATCTATCTTATAAGTTTGCTATTAGCTATTTTAAAGGAAGGTTATCTAATAAGCTTTGTTTGGTTTTGAGAGCTGATTTGAAAAGCTTTAACCTTATTTCATAAGCATTAGTTGTAGCTTTTGCTTATAGGAGTAAGTTCTGTCTGGTTTTCATTTATAGTTTCATTTTCTTTTACCTTTTATCCAAAACTATTTTAAACATATTTTGTATTGCCTCCATTTGATATTTTGAAACTAGCTTTAAGCATAGCAGCTGTTTGAAAAAGAAAAAATGACATGAACATTAATGATAAGGTTTGTATTGACAAAAATATGACTAAACCCTGATCTTAATGGAAATGTAACTACTTAGAAGTCAATTGTCTCTAATGCCCTCTGTATAAATGTAGGAACCCTAATTTTAGAATGCATTTCTTTTCCATCTGCTACAATTATCCTCTGCATAGCGCCTCTGCCTCCACATGCACACCTCCACTTCTGCACAACATGCTCCTCTACATGTCGCGGGGCAGGTGGGGGCGGAGTCACTAGATGACTTATGGGCTGTAGTAGTCACTGGCTAGGAGTGTCACTGGTGGGGTGCCACTGCATGGTGGCAACAGTGATGACAGTGGCAGGGGTGGCTGAATGGTTGATTGTTTTTTAATTATAATGAATGAAATATTAAAATAATAATAAATTTAATATGGCATAATTACATACTTTTTACTAAAATAAAGGTTTGTCTATAAAAATGTGAGATCTCAAGTGTATTTACTATAAGAGTAACTTTAGGCGTAGTAACTCATGTTCTGTTTTTACACTAAAGTGACCATGACACTAATAGTAATTTTATTCGTATTTTTGTAAATAAGTTTTATTTCAGTGATATTTTAAAAAAGACATCATTTAATATTGAATAAAAACTAAATAGTACTCCCTCCGTCCCTAAATAAAAACATCTGTTTCCTTTTCGAGCCGTCCCTAAATAAAAGTCCCCTTTCTTTTTTTGGCAAACAAAACAGTGCAAAACAGTGTCCAAACAGTACCAACCAACCCCACTTTTTTTATATTTTGAAAAAATATAAAACAAGTCATGTTTTTGTCTTTTGTATTTAATTTAGTGATATTCGTAAAAAGTCATTTAAATAAAGGAAGGCTATGTTTGGGAAAAGAAGTTATAGTTAGGTTAATTAGTAACTAATACCGCTTAGTTGATAAGCGAATTGATTTCATTTAGTGTGATCTCAAAGTGTTTGGTAAATAGGTGATCAGCTAGTGGAGAGATAGTAAATGCCCTCTTGTAGTTTCTGCAATGTCATCCCATCTATTTATAAAATCTCTCTTTTGTTTCCATTTAAAAATAAATAAATTCAAGTGACATTTTTTGTTTAGATGATTATTAATTTATATAATTCCTTTGGGACTTACATTGGCATGTAAGATTATGACTTTATTATATTGGATCATTGGTCCTCACATGCAGGGTCAGCATGGATGATCCTGACACGCTCTTTCCTGGAGTACTGTATTTGGGGATGGGACAACCTCCCAAGAACACTTCTCATGTACTATACCAATTTCATCTCTTCCCCAGAAGGCTATTTCCACACCGTCATCTGCAACGCTGATGAGTTTCGCAACACTGCAATAGGTCATGATCTGCACTACATCGCTTGGGACAACCCTCCCAAACAACACCCCCTCGCCTTAACCCTCAAGGACTTTCAGGCCATGGTCAACAGCAGTGCCGCTTTCGCCAGGAAGTTCCGGAGAGACGATCCAGTTTTGGACAAGATTGACCAGGAGCTGTTGGGCCGTGGTTCAGACCGGTTTGTGCCAGGGGGTTGGTGTGTAGGGGGTCAAGAGGATGGGAGTGATCCTTGTTCGGTCGTCGGAGATGATTCGGTGTTTAGGCCTGGTCTGGGTGCGAAGAGGCTGGAGAGTCTGATGCAGAAGCTGATGTCAGCAGATTTTCGTAGTAAGCAATGTTTGACCAAGAACTAAAACACAAAGAGAAGCTGATTTGTACAGTGTTGTAAACCACATGGAACAAATTGTAAGTTAAAAATGGTCCATTGATTAATTATATGTAGAGTATGTAGCTGCTCATTTGCAACAGTGTAATACAAACAGGGAAACATCCAACAGAAATGTGAGTTTACCAAATCGGGGAATTTTGCTCAGATGTATTTTTGAGATATCATATGCTAAACGAAATCATGAATCGATTCATGTTAGCCGACCCCAAATTCTTTTGGGATTAAGGCTGAGATGTTATTGTATCATGTGCTAATATAGCAGAATGCATACCCTTGGTATTATTCCTAGATTTTCCAGAGTTAGTAAGACACATATTGCACAACACTGACAACAGTAAAGTATGGCAAAATAAAAATATAAAATGTTCCGTTCCTGATTGCACTCGAATAGTTTTGAAAAAACATCATAAAGGAAAGATACAGAAGAGATGATACGACATTTTGACCAGTTAGATTTTTCACAAGCCACCCTATTAACAGTAAATGCATATTCTTGAGAATATTGAAGCCATGCCTTAAAAAATAAAAAAAAATCTTTTGTACACGCTCTTTATAAACGTTTTAGTATGCCAATGTTTTGTTAGTGTTAACAAATGCAAAAAAAAAGTTGTTTGTATACACAGACAAAATAGTGAGTGTACATGAAGAACAATTGTAAAAAACATAGGCGTGAATCCAAAATTTCAAAGTCTCCACATATCCTTGTCTAGTTGTCCTCGTAGTTTTGGAGTTACGGAACTATTTATTAGTTGTTTTCCTCATCATGTTTGCATGTACACTTCTGTCTACAATGCATCTAAGGATATAGCAAAAGTCTCAGAGAAGATTTGATGTCAGTTGTGGGATTTGATCCTAAAGAGGTGGTGGACTATATATTATACGAAGTAGTTATTAACACTAAACCAAAAGGAGTGTTTCGTTATAATCGTCGAAGGTAAATTGGACATAAGAACTCAATGTTTTTGGAGATGGCTCAAGTTAAGTGATTGACAATAAAATACAGTGAGAAATATAGTCCGAACGGGAACACAAACATGTCTACAAAATCAAAATGGACACAAAAGCTCCGATTAATAAAGCTCTTTGTCTTTATATTGATCCAATCATCTTTAGCTAACCATCCCACATTGGATTACTCATCATACTAGTATATTTTAAGATAAACCTCCTAGTCTTAGTAATTACTCCTATATTGATAGAGTGCATGCTCTTAAGCTCTTTATAGGGGTAAGAATATACTCGATTTCATTTATTCTTTAATTGATCGTAGTTTTAGAAAGTAATGCTTTATTTAACAAAGGACTACTAAATATGTATGGTGAATGTTACGGTCGATACTCATAAAAATAAGGGTATCGTACCTATTATGCATTTTATTGGTTCAAGTCACTATTTCATCATTTTTTATATTTAAATTATATATATATATATATATGTGTGTGTGTGTGTGCAATATTCTAATTCGTCCATGCATGTGGACAAGGTACAGTATCTTGAGGGTATCATCGAATTTGCTAATATCTATTTATATACTATTATCATATACTATGTGTGTTGGGAATAAAAGGGACAGAGCTAATATGAAAGAAAATCACTTATATTACTTTCAAGAGTAGAAACAAGAGACATACAATCTCTAACTAAAACTGTAAAAAAACCTCACATATCTTCTTGATTGCACTATGATGATCTATTGAAAGCGTTCCAAGGTAGTCTATTTATAGGATCAAAACTAGATAATAGGAAGAGAGTAGGAATTGAAGGTGGGTTCAAAGTGAGAAAGGTGGTTCCTTGCTGTGAGGAGGCTTCCCTTGTCATTCTTGGATATAGAGAAAACCTCATACATGCTAAGAATTTAATTCTTTAATTTACTTGTCACTGAATATGCTATTGAAATTGAATTTTTCACGTGTATACAAAGTCACCAAAATAATATGTACACATAAATTATTGAACCCTATATATGTCAAATTTGTAGCGACCCTAGGCACAACTGCACACTCCTCAATGTTTCCACATGAGGCATAGGTTCACCAGACAGCTCTAAAACTCTAAAGCATATGCTATGCTGGAACACAATACAAATACTAAATATAGAAATTAAAACTGATCGCATAATAGTTCGCAAGTTCGGTAAAATATGAAAGGGAGCATTAAAATATTCATCCAAGTTTCAGATGGGTTATTATTGTTGGAGTAATATTTTTATAGTTGATAGTTGAAACAGAAATGAATAAATGGATTTTGCATGGATAGGGGGAACTCGTTGCGAATAGGATATCTGTAAGTTATAAATACGTTCCGCAGCGAATTTGTACAACACCGACCTTAGCTCAGTTGGCAGAGCGGAGGACTGTAGTTGTACGCAGTTAAATCCTTAGGTCGCTGGTTCGAATCCGGCAGGTCGGATTGTTTTGTTGTATACATTTACTTTTTTCAAACCTGCTTTTAAATGTTAACATTTTGTTTTAAATTGCTTTTGAAAATGACAAACCTAGGGTTGACTCCACATACACACCTCTTTTGCGGATCAAATTGCACTAAATTATTAAAAGCATTTAATTCTAAAACATGAATTTATGTTTTTGCGGTTTTTTGTAAATATTATTAAAATAAAATTTATTTACACAAATATGATTAATAGTTATTTCAATGTAGTGTCATGATAACTTAATTTGAAAAATTCAAATTAAATATTTGTTTGTTTCATGTTTTTAATTCTTTATATAAAATAGATATAATATTGTAATCTTTTGACATTATTGAGCGTTATACATGACACTATTTTTCAAAGTTTATACTCCCTAGGTTTTTTTATTCAATCAAACACTATTTTCTAAGTCAAAGATGTTCAGTTTTGACCGATTATATTTATACAAGGTAATATTAATAATATGAAAACGATATGAAAATGATATGAAAATGATATGAAAATGTTCTTTATTAAAAATACTATCATAAAAGTATGAATTTATTAAGTTTCACAGAAATATATTCGTTAAAATGGTGGATAAAAATTTATCATCTTTGACTGGAAAAGTCAAAGATAGCTAAATAAAAAGGGAAGAAGGTAGTAGTAATTACTCATTTTTAGAGAATAAAAACATAGTACTGATACTTTGATATTATTTAAAAAAATTACTCATATTTAAGCCAATTTCTCCAATATCAATAATTAGAAAATCATAAAAGAATCTTGAGTTTAGAAATATCCTTGATATTGGAAGAATGGATTGTGTTACCGTTACTTTTCATGTGAGTTTTTCTTTCTCATCCTAATATCTAGTTAGCAAAAGGACAAAATCTCAAACTGAAGTATAGTAAAATGACAAACTTAATACATACTATCGTATTTATGACTAAAATAAAAATTATTTAGTTTTATGTGACCTTTTAATTCTAAGACATGCTTTAGGTTGGGCAAGAGTTTTATTGACCTTGCAAATACATAAAAAACCAAAATATATTAATTTAGATTGCCCTGGCCGGTATTATTTGGTTCTAAAATTTTAAAACCGGTCATATATATGTTTAAAATGGTACGGTTTTGATTCGGAACAATCTCATTAACTTTTTAAGAATCTTACCCAATTCAGTATCATCATAGTGCGATTTGGTACATTTCTATTTTTATGCCCACCTCTACATTTTGGACATACTCCCTCCGTCCCGGTCATTTCTTTCAGTTTTTCTTTTTGGGTCGTCTCAATTAATTCTTCCAACTTTCCTAAAAAGGAAATCAACCCATGCTAAAAACTCTATTTTACCCTTCCAATAAAAAAAACCCTTTCCCATTCCCCTTCCCCTTCCCTTTTACCCGCCCTTGACCCTGAGACCTCGTCGCTGCGTAGCCAATTCCCCACGTCGCCGTTGTATTCGTCGTTGCGTAGCCAATTCCCCATAAAGTCAAGAATCGGCTGAGAAGTAGGATTGGGACTGGCTGGTCGGAGTTGAAGCCGTCGGGCAAACATGGTGGCCGTCTCGATCTGAAGATTGATGAAGTTTGACAAGGACTCGGCCAACCTCGATGTTCTGGTTGAACCCTTCTTTTTGCGACCTTCGAATCTGGCATTTTGTAGGCGCGGATCACGGGATATGTCTCTACGGCCGGAGAGCGGTGATTGTTTCAGCGGAGATCGGCGATTGAATGGTGGTTGTGCTGGTGGCAGCCGATTGTTTGCATCTCGGCTGAAATTTTATGTTTGCAAAAAAAGAAATCTACTCTGCGCGGATCGGCTTGATTCTTGACTTTATGGGGAGATCGTCGTTACTATGTCGGATCTGGGTTGAGGAGGGTAGGATTGGGACTGGCTGGTCGGAGTTGAAGCTTGAGAAGTAGTTCGGGAAGAGGGGCGGGGCTAGAGCGGGATGGGGCAGGGTGGGGGTTGTGAAACAAATTTTAAGTATTTACTTAAAATTGATCGCAAATATTAATATGTGAGAATATTGGGTACAATCTCTAAATATGAATCCTCTGATTCTTCACTTGCAATTTGAAATAAATATAATTAAAGAAATTAATTCAAAATTAAATCTTTAATCCTTCAAACGTTCGAACGTTCTCCAGATCTTCAAATCTTCGTTCTTGAGATCTTCGAATCTTCGAATCTTCATTCGTCGGATCTTCAAATCTTCTTGAATTAAGAATTCAACTTGAAGGGCCTCCGGTTTTCAAGTGGCTTAATCTTCAACAAAAGGGCCGTTTTATGGGTTGATCTTTTGTTTAAGGGCCTCCCGGGATATGTGGCTTGATCTTCAATTGAATCTTGACTCAATCTTCATATGAATATCTTCAAATCTTCAAAGATTCGTTCTTCAGGTCTTCGAATCTTCAAAGCATTGTTCTTCAGATCTTCAAATCTTCAAGCTTCTTTCTTCGGATCTTCGAACGTTCTTCAACTTTTGGATTTATTTTATCAAGAATCGATGAAATCTCAAAGGGTTATTCGTATATTCTTAATAAAATTCGTGGCTTGGTCTACTTCTCTTCTTCTGAATCGTTCAGAGCCTTTCAGGAGTTCTTCAGAGCTATTCTGCAGCGTTTCTTCATCTGAAAAATTCTCTCTTTTCTTCCTCTCAACTGAGACCCCTGTTTATAGGTGTGGAGGGGATGAAAATATGTTCTAGGGTTTTGGACATTCGTCCATATCCCTTGGGCCTCAAATAAAATGGGTTTTGGACTCTATTTGCTTGCATTTGATAGCTAGAAAAATCAGCACTTGTGCGATGTATCTGGACAACCTTTTTAACAAGGTTCGCGGCCATTTTCCATGCATACGGATGGATTCCTTAACCATATTCATTGCTCTCTTTATCAATTGGATCATGACTCTTATTCATTGGGCTACTATTTAATAATGTGCTCAAAATAAAGAAATTAATAGGACCGGTCCATTCTTTTAAAGATTTAATTAAATTAATTGGATATTTAAATGACCCAAGTTAATTCAATTATTAAATTTTATCCGAATGAGTCCATATTAATACTTCTATAAGGCCCAACAACCATCACGAGCAGCCCAACAGAATCGAACGTTGACCCAATAAATTCAAAAGACTCCCAATAAATTTTACATGTCCACTGGGTTTTCCAGTGATGGGGAGTTGGGATGGGCAGGAGTATTAGGGGAAAGTCAACCCCTTTAGAAATTTGCATAAATTTGCGATACCGGTCAAAACTGGAAGAAATGATCGGGACAGAGGGAGTATTTTTTAATTGAATTGATTCACAAAATCAATATCATCAAAAAAACTGACATGTAGTCATACAATTGAATTTATTTGATATGGTGTTATGTTTGTACGATCATTTCAATTCATTTTGAGTTAATTTAAATGCAACATTGTTTGTATGAAGATCTCAAGTTGACTGAACTCAAAATTAATCAATTGATTTGACACTACTCATTTTAACGTTTTAGTTTTACCCTCGGGCTATTCAGAATTTATCTTTTTGTTATTAAAATTCACCCGTTTTTTGGTAGAAGTTCACTCGTTTTTTAATAGTTGCAAGTTGCAACCCTCTAAATTTTCATTACTCACAAAGCTTATTTTGAGCATAATTTTCTACTCATATATATAATCAAAATATTATGTACAAATCATAAAATTTCTCTTAATGTGAATTCCAAAATATTAAATTTTTATGATGTTTATTAATTAATGAGTATTTAAATAAAATTAGAATTAAAGCTGCGCACCGACAAACGTTAAAGTCGAACTGTTGAAATTAAAAAGATTAAAAAGAACAGAGGCAATATGTTTTTATGATAATTTGATACTTTTCAATCATTATTTCAATCTTTGAGCTAAACGAGTACATCTGAGTTTCAAAATTCTCTATCAAGTTCCCAACAATAATATCTAATTCAAATAATACTTTTTAATTTCAGTTTATTCTTCCAAACATACTTAAAAGCATAATTTTATTTTCAATAAAACCATCTTATTGACCCAATTCCTCCTCCATTATTTTAAATATCATTCAAGGTTCATATTTCTATATTCATATTAAATAAAAATGATCATGGTTCTTTGTATATCTTATACCACGTACCTAGATGTACTATTGCGCCTCACAAAATCCTCTTTAGAGAGGCACTAGAAAGAGAGAAATTTGTGAACTCACTCCAGAAAACTATAAACAATAAAAACACTATATAAAACTATAAAAGTTTGGGCTACTCCTCCTGTCAAGCTGACCTTTTAGGATAGAACCTTCGATCTTAACATGATATCGGAGTCAATTCATGTTGTGATTTGACCGCTTGTTTAGCACCCATGATTCCGACTCCGTTGACTCTAATAGAAAATAAGAGTTTTGAATGTATATTTTTAGGTTCATTTACACATTCATTTAATTGCAATTGGTAAAGATAAATGAGCATTGCTCGCGATGAGATAATTAGGTTTATTTACAAAGAAAGAATCAAAATGTTAAAGAGACAATTCTTTTGTAATTATTAACAGAATTATTTGTAGTTTGGTTAAAGCCTCGATTAGCAAACTATCTCCCCAAACACCAAGTGTAAAAACGTCCCAATGCCTCTGTCTTCTAACTACTCATGTCTAAATCAACTACTTCCTGGTTCCTACTAATCAATGTGCTGATAGAAGCAGCTCTTCCTGTTGCAATCTTAATTGTATTAAGTTGCACTTCAAACTCCTCTCTTCAATCTGTCAACATATAAAACCAACAACATATTAAACCAATGCCAACATAATTTATTCAAACCACTTAAACTGCACAAAGGCTTACCTCTAGTCTAGAAATGGTCTTGAAAAGCTCCAAACACTCTTCCAGCAACAACTGCTCTTGTATTACAACTTCTGCTGTCTCTTTCATTACTTCAGCTGTCCCAGTGGCCTAAATAAAAACACCACCAATTTGACTTAGGATCAAAAGCATGTTGGAAAGTAAAAAAGAGGCGTAATGCTAAGTTGTGTTGTGCGTGACAAGTGGCATCCGCAGGTCTTTTTTTGTTAAGTTTCGGTTAACGAGACCATTTTTTTGTAAAAGTAAAAGCGGTAAAGGGTAAATTAGAAAAATCTTAAAAATATAGTCAACTTATGAGATTAGACAAAAATTTGGAGGAGGAAAAAGAATAGGGGAAAGTAAAGTAGGATATGGGGAGTATAGTTTTACCCATTGGAGTAAATAATGTATTATTTGACTTGCATCAGAGTAGGAGTGAAAAGAAGTGGTTTTAGGAGACTTTGGCCATTAATTTGGTTGATTAGGACTTAGCATCCTTTGATTAGAAAGTAATATGGCTTACCACTGGAGACAAAGCAGACAACATCAACTCAATGGATGCAGCAAGATCTGATGCATCTTGAAGAGCAATGGAGGTTGATTCTGGGTCCACCTACATTTATTAACACATATTAATCTCTTATTAATACCCTGATTTAGTCCCCATTCTTTTTTGTTTTTGTTTTTTCCCCGTAAATATTAGCACCTTTAACACTTAAAGTATTTGTCCCACACCGAAAAGTTATAAAACAATAAAACACTATATAAGGTTTTGGGTTACTCCTCCGGTGGATTTGACCTCTTAACAACATTATACTGTGTATACTTATATCTGCATACCTTTGCGCCTTGAATGAGGGGTACTTTACAAACAACCGAGTGTAAAGAATCTTTGGTCATTGAGATTGATGATAAGTATTTTGTTTCCATATCACCCCAATCCTCAAGCTGTTTGATCTGAATAATTGTCGGTTACCCAAACAAACAAAACTTAGAAAATATGTAGAGAGATCAATATAGTACAGAATTGTTCCAAGAGAATGGTAAGAGCAAATTACTCACTTGAGAATGAAGTAAAGAAGCAAGTTTCATCTCCAATTTCTGTTTCTGCAATTGCATCTTCTTTTGGACAACAGAATGGCGCAGTTTAGATATACTTTCCTCAGCATATATCAGTTTCTTCTGCAAAATAACACAATCTCATTCAATCACATAACCACTAATGAATGGTATTTTTGTTGAAATGACTTAATCTACCGAATTTTCCTACAAAAGATATGATTTTAAAATCCCATTTCAACCCAAAAAAAAAAGTCAGAGGTGGCCTATTTTGATTATTCTTGTGATAAATAAATAAATCACAGGGAAAATATATGGAAAATGTGATTAAATGAATTGTTCACCAACTTCATAAAAATGCATTTAACTTATCTGAACATACTTTCTAAAGAAATTGCCTAAGTAGGAGTATAACGTTTGGATAAAGAATATACCTAATTTTTTTTTGAAGAAACCTAATACTACCTCCGTTCCGCTATGATTGTCCTATTTTACCTTATCGATCAGTCTCGCTAAGATTGTCTCATACCAAATTTGGTAAAGTTTGTGTGACTCTAAATCGTTTTCCATCATTTGCAATGGAGCCAAAGATTCATTATTTTTTGGCTTGAGATTATGATGGACTAAAGCAAAATGGCTCATTAAACTGTCTGCGCTTCTTTGTTATGGAGCAGCAGTCAGTCCATGCAATCTTGGACGCGATTTTCACTATGGGTCATCCGGAAACAGTCTCTCTGTGCTTTAGTACAAGGGTAAGACTGCGTACATCCGACCCCCTTACCCCACCGTAGGTGGGAGCCTTTGCGGCACTGGGTTAAATGAAAATGAAAAAAAATGTGTGACTCTAAATCATTCTTACTTTATTCTTACTTTATCAATTCAATATCAACCACATAAAACACTTTTTATTAATTTGAGTGTCACACCATCTTATCCCATTGTTTGCGGGACCGAGGGAGTAAGTTACATAGTAGAGTTTTATAAGAAATACAATTAATTTTTCTACAAATATATAACCACCAAATGGTCACCTATAATACACTGATAACACTTAGAAAACTTCTAGAATGGTAATTAACTTATCCTTAAACTGATACACATATTTAAACTTATTGCAAAATATTCAACTCAATCAGTAATCATGGACTAATCTATCAACTTTTAAACAATACTCCCTTCTCCCAACACATTGAAGTTTGCATGTCTCATCTCTTACATCCAATATTTAATTAATTTTAACTGAAGGCTTGACTTTGAACCTGATCATGATTATGAACTTTTAGTACTATAGTTATTTTAGTTTGAATTAACAAGTATATATTCCTTTCCAATATACTTCTAGAACTTGTGTACTAAACACAAGAAGTACCTAACCTCGTACAGGAATCTCTACTAAAATTGAACTTTAAAGAAAGGGTAAAACAAACCTGCGCATCTCTGCTGATCTTCTCATTAACAGCATCAGATTTCGCATTAACATATCTCCACTGCAACAACCGATTATGCATCATTCTCAGGCTATGAACATTCTCGGCCTCCACTGAGGAAGACATGGATGTTGTTTTAGAAGAAGACTTCTTAACCTTAAGCAATTCAAGCCCCATACTAAAGAAACTACCAACCCCTTTCACTCTCGAAGGGTTGGTCGGCGGGTTCATGCCATGAATTCCGACCACTTCCTCTCTGTTCTCAGGCGTAATCGCCGCGGGGTTTGATCTCCGGAGAGATGAAGGCGCCGGTTTTACTGAATTAGACCTTTTCAAAGAAGCCGCCTTTCTGGAAGGGTTTTCTTCTCTGTTTTTCTTGAGGCCAGAATCTGAACTCCATCTCCGGGATCTCGACGGCGGATCTTGCAAGGACTTTGACGAACTGAGAGTGGGGGCCATATAGGATGGTGTTCTGTTCTTCATGATAATAGGGGAGGAGAAACTGCTGTTGGAGAGAATTTCACTGTCTTCCGACTCCAAATCGGATAAAAAATCTGATCTTTTTCTGTATTCAGAGTAATCTTCGAGTAAGTTGGAGAAATTGGAGGAGCAAGAGGAGGAAGACGACGGAGAAGTGGATGATCTGGTCGGAGTGGCGAATTTCCCGGCGTACCTCATGGACCCACCAAACAGGGGCCTCTGATTTTCCTTCGCAATACCTTGTTCGTCTCTCTCGCCGGAAAACCTACTAAAATCCCGACAACTCATCTGCCGGCTGAGGGAAGCCGGTGAATTGCTGAGGTCTTCAAGCCTGAAGCTTGAAGTGACGGAAGACGGCCACAACTTCGCCATGAATCCGGACTTCTCGGAGCCTTTTGATGATCTGGGCACCTTCTTCGGCGGAGTAGAGAGAATGTGATTGGAAGATGGCATCGGATTTATCTGATTATGACTTCTGGAAGTTGAGATAGTGCTGGGCGACCGGAATCTTGAACTGACTTCTCTGGTTTTTGCCTTCTTCTGCTTAAGAGATTGATCGAACTCCATAGTTTTCATCACAGTCCACTAACAAAAGAAGCAGAGGGGTTTTGAAGATGGAGAAAACAAAGTTACAAACAGAAAGGAGGGTTTTGTTAAATGGTTAGCGAAGAAGAAGGAGAAACAAACAAGTGCATAAATGGCGGCAGAATAAACGGAAAGCCGGCTGGCTGGCTCTTCATTTATTTTGAGTTTGTCGGTTTACGTAATTACCCTGCTGTTGGTGCAGGGGAAACGAGGGTAATTTCGGGACAGCAAAGGGTGTTATCTCCAGATTTGGAATAATTTACTCCCTCGTGAAAGATCTTGGTTCAGTCTTTCAAGTATCAAATTTAAATCACTCTTAATCTTGTACAAAGTAATATATATATCAAAATTTTATTAAAATTGAATTATTTTTTATATGCTTTGTAATGATTTAAATAGTTTCTGAATATGTAAATTTTATTTACTAAAAATAATTTGAGCTTTTATCGGGCTGATCCTCAATTGGAAGATCTGTTACGGAGGAGGTAGTATTTAAGTGCGATCTTGATATTGATATTTTATCTTGAATTATTTAATGCAGTATCATAGGATACAATAAAAACAAACAAATGAATAAAATAACGTGTAAGCAAAAAAGATAGATTTTGGATTCGGAGAAAACAAGAAACGTGTCGTTTGACGATTGTGTGTTTGGTAGTACGAGGATAAAGGATCTGTGCGAATGGGATTTGATAAACTAGCGATGTGCCGCACCCATTTGGTCTTACCCTTAGGTTGGAGGATGATCCCACTTCATTCGATTGCCTTTTTAAATTTCAATAAAATCTTTAAAATAACCGAGCATTTTAGCCCAACTGTTTGTGAGGTTACCAGAAGTCTGAAGCTCGAAACTCGCTATGCACACAAGAGTTTGAAACTCAATGGGTTGAGTTTCTTGATTACTCCAGGGACCCCAGACCCTCCTGGAGTAAAAATGAAAAATAAAAAAAAATAAAATAAAATCTTTAAAATAATAACATCAAATGTAGCTCTTTGGAGGAACTCCCAAATCACAACATGTTCATCTTTTAAAAAATACTACAGGCGTAGGCAGGAGTAAGAGTTGGGCTGGGCCCGTACAAAGAATTTTTACAGATAAATTTTTACAAATAAATTTGGGAAAATAAAACTAATAATCAAACCTTTTAGCGGTCTTCTTACAATAGTCCCACCTTTTGATTATTCATGAATAATCCAACCTTTGCACCCCATCTTCATTCACTGGTCCCTGACCGATTTATGACCTGTTATTCCAGGTTGTTTTCTTATCCTTGTAAAACATTATACCATAATTCCCGCCTTATGATCACATAATGTTTTGCAAAGATAAGAAAATAACCTGGAATAACAAGTCATAAATGGGTCAGGGACCAGTGAATGAAGATGAAGTGCAAAGGGTGGATTATTCATGAATAATCAAAAGGTGAGACTATCGTAAGAAGACCGCTAAAAGGTTGGATTATGAGTTTCCATTTTCCCAATAAATTTTTACATTACAAATATAAGCAATTTTAGAATTTGGGCTGGGCCGGGGCCCGGTTAGCCACCCCTCCACCTCCGCTCCTGCATCCCACTAACATTAGGATATGAAGACGTGACACGCTTATTTAAAAAATGGATTTGTATTGTTGATATTGAATTGGTAAAATAAGAATGAATTGAAATCACACAAATTTTACTAAATTTGGTATGGAGTGAAAAAGAAAGATGAGACAATATTAGCGGGATGGAGGGAATATTTATTATTTAATTTGTGATTGGACAAAAATTCACCTATAGGGTTTGGAGCAATGCCACCACCGCTGGTGGCCAATAGCTGACCACCACCACTAGTCACCTGGAATTCTATGCCGACGACATTCGTAATAAACTGCGATTAAACATCTACCAAATTAAACTAGACGTAAAATATCAGACTCAAAACATCATTGACCCTAAATAGGAGTAAAATTACTCGTAAATGTAACAATAGGACAACAATCTTTTATTCCCAAAATAGGAGTAATATATGTTCATCTTCCTATTCCACCCTTCCTATAATTCCTTAACAGATTCATTTTATCAATAAGAAAATTATAGTTTTTCTATAATAAAAATATACAAATAATAAAGTATTTATACATTAATAATAAAAATGAGAAAATGAAATAAAATAAAATAAAAAAATCAAATGAAAAAGATATTAATTTAAAAACCTAAGAAAAACTAAAAATATGTAGGCCTTTGACGCTGCATCCTCTACCTCCCAACACCACCAACATCAATTGCCTGAAAAACTGCTATTTTGTGTAAAATTAACATTTTTACTCTTTGAAAATATCTAACTTTGCTTTCAAAATTGTCATCACGATGACATTTTTTCAAGTTAACATTTTTCCTGACTACTGGAGGTGGAAGTGCTGAAAGGTGGCTGAGATGATGCTTGAGGCCTATACATTTTTATTTATTTTTACGTTTTTTTTTTAGTTTTATTTTTAAGTGCAACACTTTGGATTATGCTTTAGTCACACACCTTACTTTGACCATGATTTTATACTAATATATATAATCATTTTTTATTCTAAAATATCATTAAATTTGTCGTAATGTGAATTTCCGGAGTATTAATACGTAACATATCATCAAATTATTCACTCTCATTTTTGCAGAATTTGGAGAATTAACCAGAACTTTTAATACTACTTCACATTGAAATGTTTGCAAAATTAGCTTCTTGCACAAATTTAAAGATGAATTGATCCACTAGGAGTGGTGAATAGTGTCAAAAGAAGGGGAGAAGTATGAAATAATATGAAATGGAAGACAAAAAAGTAAAAAATAATAATCGATGTTTACTACTACTAATAAGCTAGTGAATAGTGTCCATACCCGCACGGGTAGCTCAGTTGGTCGAGTGATGGGAAAATTGGACCAAGTGACCAAGGTTCGAAACTCGCATCGGTCGTGTGGAGGTTACAGAACCTGAAATAAGGTTGAACCTCTGGTGCACATGTGTATAAGGCCTACCGCCGCTTTGCTGACTGAGTCACCGTGATTAACCTCCCCATCATCCTGTCGAGTCGGGGTAGAGAGACCTTGGGGTTGGGCATTCAACCTTTTGGACCAAGTGAATAGTGTCCAAAATGGCGTACTATATACTATCGTATCAAGAAAAAGACTCATCCATGAAAGCAAATTCTACATCAAGACTTCTATTATAGAATTACTTAGTTTAATTTAAAGAAGCAAGGAATTTAAGGTAAAACATTTGAGTAAAAGATAAACAATACTCCGTATATTCTAGTGTGCTTAGAACTTACAATAATATAATACCCCTATGTCCCGAAATTATCTTCATTCTTTCCTTTTCGATCCTTCCCAAATTTATCTTCTTTTTTCCTTTTTGGTAAAGAATATGTGGTTCACAACCATTGTTACACATTTCTGTCTCCTATGTACAACTCTTCACCACACAAATCTCGCTATCTTAATCCCCGTGCCCAGTCAAAACCGAAGTTAATTATGGGACGCAGGGCGGAGCACTATCCAAGAAATAGAACTCATTTAATTTGATGAATTGCTAGAAACTACTCATGATCTCCAATTCTTCATTAGAAATTAAACTACGTAGTACTTATTAATAAATGGACTTGTAAGATGCTGGTAGCAATCCGACCATTCATGTGTTGAGGAAATCTCTTTGGGTACTAACTTTTCAATTCCGATTGGAGAAGATAGAGATTGATGCAAAAGAGAAGAGGCAGCTTAGAGAACAAATTCTATACTGTAAACTAAATGAAATAATTAAAACGAAGTGTGTGGGCAATCAAATATGATTAAAGCATATTGTACATACATCGATCTATTTAGTGTTACACTAAAACTTTTACCACACCAAAGCTAATTAATGTGTCCTAACCTTCATTAGTGTTTATACTAGCTAGCACGGAGTATTATTTTATTGTTAAGTAATGTGCCATACTGCCATAACCTTGGTGTTTGTATTATTTTAAGCGAAAAGGGACAAATAAGCCCTCAAACTAAACGAAAAAGTGCAAATCACTCCTTTTATAGGAAGCTCTGTCCGGCCATCGCCATTTGAGGCGGTTCTCGGTGGAATTTTTTGATGAATTTTTTTTAGCATCATCGTCATTAAGTCTAATTTACTCATACCAAATTTGAGCTAAAAATTTAATCGTGAAGGCAGTCAAATAAATGTTTGAAGATAACTGCGCATTTAAATAGCGCAGTAAATTTCAGAAAAAATTTGACTGCCTACCCTGTTGAATTTTTATCTGAAATTTGGTATTGGTAAACTAGACTTAATGAAGAAGATGCTCAAAAAATTCATCAAAAAACTACCAGTAACCGCCCCAAATAGCGATGGCCAGACAGAGTCTCTTATAAAATGGGTGATTTACTCTTTTTTAGTTAGTTCGAGGGCTTATTTGCACTTTTTCCCTTATTTTAATGATAAATACGAATAATAATAATGTAAGTTTCAGTTTTCATGTCAACTATGGTTGAAATTAGAATTGAACATGATATTTTCAAAGGACCTTTAGACATGTTTAAATCACTTGAGTACCTTATCATCTACGTAGTATTACTCTAACAAAATACACTTTGCTGTGACAATTTTTTTGTCTGTGCTAAACATGAATTATTTCTTTATAAAAAAAGTGTTTATGCATACATTGACAGAGTGTACACTTACAAACAACATTTGTCATGGGCATATATATATAATTATACGAGGTTTGTTCGTGTGTCTAGCTAGGAAGAATATGATGGAAAGGTTTCCAAATACAAAGTATAATTAATTCGTAAAATTTATTATTGCTGTCACATCTAAAGTTTAAGTACCCCATACGCATGTTAGCTGTTTTTCATTTTTTAGCTCTTGTTCTTGTTCGTTTCTCCTAATGTACGACGTACTTCAGTTCAAGAAAAGAAACACTAGTTTTCATAACAATTATTATAAATATATACTCCCTCCGATTCTTAATTAAGTTTACACGACTTCACACATATTAAAGAAATAAATTTACTAAGAGATTAATTTTACTGTAGAGTACACTATTTTGATATTGTTTGACACTGTTTTGCATTGTTTGGTGTAGATTTATTTGCCAAATAA